GATTGCCACGTTTATTTTTTTTTTCTTGAACTCCGATTCCGCACGATTTTGCCCCCCTGCTTCAGGGCTAAAGTAAGAGGGTACAAAAAAAAGTGCACAGGGTACATTCAAGTACTCAATGAGTACAATCCAAACCAACAAAAAAAAGTTAGATTTTTCAAACTTCGATGCCAACTTCACATAGCTATGAAAAATTTACCCATACAATCTGATTTTTTGCGTGCAGCCTCTCAGAATGGAGGAGAAATCCAATTGTTCATTTAATCTCAGGAGAAATGACTTGCACTCTCGGCGTAATTACTAAATTCCTCGTGTGTTTTTGTGTACTTGATGACAAAAATGATGGTACTTAAGCGGAGTTAAGTGCATGGAAGATTGTGCAGCATTGTGTCATACTCCCTCCCTCTGAGTCCCGGAACAGTGAACTTTACACGTCTCGGGACAGTAGTTTTTATTATGCACCACCTGAATTTCTACGGTGCTTTAACATTGAACCGACAGTTTGTTTCAAGACTCGGAAAATTTTCCTCCAATTTCCCTACAAACATTTTGATACAGAAACTTGAGGGAAAAAGGATCCACCGAATTTTCTGGAGATTTCTCGCTTTTTTGAATTCCGAGAAAAAGTTTGAGGAAGTCCTCGAACTTCAACAAGTGCGAAAAACTTGACAAGTTTCTAGAAATTATTTGAGTTCTCTGAAAATTCCAAGGACTTGCTTGATTTCCAGATGTCGAGAATTTTCTAGACAAGAGTAAAAATTACGCGAGAAAATTTCCCAGTCTGTTTTGTTGCTGTTAAAAATTTAATTAGGAAACATTAAAAAATTTCAATGTAAATCTAATGCAGCAAATGAATTTACGACGCAACTAAGACATTGCATTATATCATGAGCCATCTGGTCTACGCCTTTTATTTCATTGTCTCGTCATGCAGCGGATGTATAAAAGAAATATTTTCAATAAAAAATAAGAAAAAAAAGAGAATGATGAGGCACTAGTAACGCGGGAGCGTAAAGTGGTGGTCGGAGCTGGTGAACGACGTGGGAGAGATCCCCGTAGAGTACACGAGAAATAGTGTACGAAGGGAACAGGAGAGTCGAGTGGAGGTAAAAGTCGATGGAGAAGATGAAGAAGTGTATGGGATCGGGGAACGTGATGGAGACGTCACTGAATATCACCGAGCCCCGAGTGCACAAAAATTTGCTCCGATATTAATATCTGAAAAATTTGATAAATCACATTCTTTTTTCGTCACCGATTTAATGGAACATTGAATTTTATCGTCCAGAGGAATTTAATTAGAATAAAATCCATGGAATTTTTCAAGCCCGCAGAAAGTTTGACAAAAAAATAATCCACCATCAAATAATTCTTGCATTACCAAAAAAATCCCATTTCTCCCTTCAAACAATTTTATCTCTCAATAATATGAAAATAACATTAAAAAAACATTCAAACAAATTGAATGGATACACAAATAACAAATATTACAATTAAAAAATATTGATAAAAAATAGCAAGAGCTAAATTTTTGATATTTCTGAATTTGCACGAATTTTGAATTGATGTTGACGTAAAAGGGCAATTTCCGTGGTAGCTGATCGATGGACCTCCACAAAGGGCAATCATCTCTCGGTGGTGGATTGAGAATTCAAAGAGCAAAAGCCCTTTCCCCCAGTGAAACGCCGGTGGTACTGTCTAATCCCAACTTTTGCGGTCCACCCTGGCTAACGAGGCCACCTGACACTGAGAACAAGAAGAGAAAGAGGCAGTTATACCCATCTCGTTATAGATATAGTCATGTAGAAAATCCTGGTTGCACTGGCCTCCGTCAAGTCCTGCACCAGCCCCCAGGATTTACATATTCATGGGGTTGGCTACACCGACTGGCCAATACTCTGTGGCTACCTCCATACCTTCCACCTACCTTCCACCTCACGACAGTTTAAATCTCTCTCCTCTGTTTCAATCCGCCGTACTAACTTTCCCCTTTGCTACTATATTACTCCTTCTAAACGAATAATTGACATATCCACGAATATTTCATATTTTTAATCAACATACATCCAGGATTAATTTATTTATCATTACTCTGAGTCTTATTGGGCACCTCTTGAATTCGTCTGGGATCCTGTCAAAATTTGGGAAAATTAAACAAAAATTTTCAACTCAGTTCATTGAGATTGGAATCAAATGGCAGTTTTGTAAAAGGATAACAGAAGAATTGAGGAGTTACCCGACGTCTTCCACCATTTTATGGAGCGGTTTCATGATGATTAAAATGGTGGAAAAATGAGGGAACTCTTCAATTGCAATTGCGTACGTCTGGGGGCTAGTTATTTTTCCGTAATTCGTTCAGTAATTTTCATCTTATCCTCTTCCACCGGAAATAATAAAAAGAATTGGAAGACATTCGCCGTCTTAATGGAATAAACTTATCTCACAATTCCACCTTCGCCTCAACATAATTTTTTTTGTTGTCAGCGAGGTATGAAGAAAGAAAATGGGTAAGAGTGTGAGAAAAGTCATCCTCGGCAAGTAGTAAATCCCCCCCAGGTGGCCGAGTCACAGAGGGGATTCACCAGAGGCTGTGAATCAGTGGGCAGACTTCCAAAAAATCAGAACGACACCCGCAGACTCACTCTGCAACATACAGCACTCGTGTGTCGTGATTGTTGGCTATATGCACTCGAGGTCATTCGATTTATTCCCCCCTTTTTACTCTCCCTCCCCCTCAGTACTCTTCTACAAATGCTGATTGTAAAAGCGTCGCACTAGGTCTTTTATTTCTCGCGGTCGAGGCCTCGACCCTATACCGCCTTGCACTTGAACCGCACTCACCGAGACTTGTACTCTCTTCACATTTTTTATTTACCTTTTTGTTTGGCAACCCATGAGACCTTCGAATTCCTCTCCATAAATATTTGGAATTTCATGTTCTTTCATAAATTCAGTACCCGGCTGAAATAAAAAAATCCTATCCACGAGAGATAATTCTCAGATTGTTATTTAATAAAAATCTGATTAGGGGAGTTTTGGAAAAATATCATAGAGTCAATTCAAACTTACCAACTGGTAATTTTCTGCGGTACAATCATTTCTCTGTTGTTACCTTTCGTAATAACTCGCGGTTTGTGCTCGAATCGCTCGTACTCATCGATCTCGTGATTGCATTCAATGACAGAGGAAATATTCACTTTCGATTGAATCACGATTTGATCGTTGCATGAAAAATAAATTAAAAAGTCCAGTGGAATAGCGAAGTGGATAACTATTTTTGTTTTATTTGCCATCGTGTTTGGAATAATGAGCACCTGAGATTTATCTCAGGATATTGTAACCTGGATTTTGTGAAACGAGCGGGGACATTATCGATTCACGATAATCCCGTGGACTTACGGTGGGGAGTTTACTTGTCAGATTTAACCCAAAGGCTTGTCCTGTCATAACATGATATGGGGTGCCTTCAAGATTTTGAGAGAGTATCATATGAAAGTTTCATAAAAATCCCAAAATAAATGTCGAATTTGTGAAAAGTCCTCATTTCGCTATCTACCGATTATAATATTTCCGGTTCCGCTACCGATAATTTTTCTCAAATCAGGAATTTCAGTAGAAAAAAAGTATCTACTTCAAACTTGATGAGTCCAGACGGATCTCAATTGATCGATGTATTAAAATACTTGTTCATTCTTCTTGCCCATTAAAAATGAAGTAAAAGAAAATTAATAAAACTGATTAGCTCTGATTATCAAGTCATTAATCTATAATTGTGATTTTCATTTGATTCCAGGTCGTTGGTGCTGCTCTTATCACTCACATTATGCCAATTACACGAGACCTCGGGTCGTCACGTAAGTCCCAATATCAAATAAAAATAATGATACGTAAGAATAATTAAATAACAATGAAAAATTCCTCTGGAAATTACTGCACTCCCCCAATAAATTCAGTTGGCAAAAGTAATGATTTTTCTCAGTGTATCTGTAAATAATAATAACTGTAGCAATGGATTTTCATTGGATAATCACGAACTTTTTGCTGAAAACTCGATCTGTCTCACCTCCAAAAAAATATCTGAATCCCTGTCCATGCGTTGAAAGGGATTCAGGTATGACCTTGGATAGATTCAAACCGGGACAGAATTGAGAGAGAAGGAGAGGATCTTGGAGAAATAAAAAAAAAGGATCTTGGAGAGGTACGTCCGGAGCCAAAACGAGTCCTGGCGGCATTCCACTACGTTCTACACCTATCCTCCTCTCTCGTGTATTCGAATACTTCTGCAATTCACTCTTCCTTCTTTTTTTTGTATACTTTATTACACACTCGTGTTCCTCTCTCTCGTGTTGCAAAAGAAAACAACACATGATCGATGATAGTGTAAACACAAGAGAGTTGATTTACCGTCTCCACTGGAGGAATAAAAAATAAAGAGACATCGTAATATTTGCAATAATCTCCAAGACAATGTCGAGATTAAAATATTTCATTAGAATTCCGTTATATCGTCTTTTCGCATGAAAAACCCGGTATATATGCGAAATATGTATTTATTATACATATATACTGGGAATAAATAATTACTTTTGTCAAGCCAATTTACTATTGACGAGAAAATCCATGTATTTCAGGAATAATGAGATGAAAAAATTCAGAGAAATTGCGGAAGTTTCAGGGATATAAAAATGGCAATTATGTAATTTATTAGAATTTGCGTTTAATATAAAGACATCCACTGAAAAATTCAATGGCGAAGTTGTCAAGCTGATCAGTGAATTTTTCTCGGTGAAATTTTCAGTAAAATCTCGGAAACACCGGGTGATAGCGGAATTTTCATAAATGTCTTTTCTAGAAAATTCAACTAGCTCTACAAAAATGGTTATAACACAAATTTCGATATCTCCCTTAGATTCCAACATTTTCATGAAAAAACTGGTCAATAGCCAGACCGATCAGCCTGTTCCCCCTCGGTACGAGATTGCATTAAAATTTCATTATTTTTTCCCCTCTAAATCACGTTTAGCCTGACCATTCGCCAAATTGAAGAATATATTTATTGCAATGTTTGTTGGGAGCCCTTAAAATAATTAATAAAAAGGTTCGTCCGGTGTAGCTCGACCCTCGTCATATTGGAGTTGTTCCACAAACTCTGCATGATTCTCTCGGATTAAATCTCATGTTTCATGACCTACCTCAATGTTCAATGAACCCCACACGTGACGTTAAACCTCTTAAACTTCGCCGAAAACACCGAGAGCATGTGTGTTATATTCCTTAATATACCCGAGCCCATTAAAACTTTAATTCAGTTGGAAAAATCCTAAATTAAGAGCATTATAAACTGGACTGGTTGTCTCCTTTATTTTTCGTGAAGATATTTTTACGTACCCTTTAATCCATGGTTCATTAGAAAAATTTACTGGGGGCTTATTAACAGGGCGTGGTGAGAGATAGTGAGCGTGAAAAACGTAACCCTCTATTTGTTTTCTTTTATTTTTTTACCCTCCACTTCTGCACTATCCATAGGAGATGAGAATAGTTGTTGAGGGTAATTCCAGCATGGATAATTCAATGTAATTGGTCATTATTGTAGAGAGAGCTAACGATAGCGGCTGGTTAGATTTTTGTGGAAGAGTTATTTCCCGAGATTGGAAAGACTTGGCATTCCGATAAGTTCGCAATTCTCTTGAAAATTAATTATACTTAAAATTGTATTATTATTTTATTATTGAATGATTAATCAATTATTGATGATTACATATAATTACACGTATTTGCTTTCAAGACGATCATATAGTTAATTTTAAAGGGAATGGGTTGTTAAGGGTGATTAATTTGAGGATTAATAGGAGTTGAAACACTTGGTTGTCGTGGGAAGTACAAGTCGTAAATGCAAATAAATATTGCGTGAATTAAAATGGATGAGGGAAAAAATGATATTATTGGCACTTGGAGTATTTTCAATTTTTATTTTTGGCAGAGTTGAGAGATACTCCCACGGGTTTTAGAGATGAGGCCATTGCACTTCCTTGACACGTGACTACACGGTGGTGGCATTAGCATGAATTAGCTTGGTGTATAAAGAGGGGATGAGTTATGAATAAAAAGATAATAACGAGTTACCCGTTGACGCGGAACTTGAACGTGACTATAAAAGTGGAATTGTTTGTTGGGGTCAGTAAACCACATCGGTTATGACCTCTTCCCTAGTTTTCGTAATTGTTGATTTTCGTGAAATCGTACTGATCCGGTGGGAAAGCGTGCGAATAGTCACGGTATTTTCGTAAATTCACGAATAAAAATTCCGTAATCACCCAAATATAATTCTATTCCCCATAATTTATTCATTAATTTTTCAATTTTTTCTCTCAATATGTCTCTATTATTTTTGTTGAATGAAAAAGTTGAACAAAATTAACATATGAAAATAGTTATTAAGAATTATTAATTATTGTAGGGCTGGCAATAATTAATTCATTAGTGTAAGTTTCAATTTCTTTGAGGGTTAATCCATTTGGCTTGTACTGAAGCTTCACGGAATTCTTTATTGCTGTCAGACGCATTGACTTATTAAACGCCCTGCCAATCCAAGGAATAAATTACTCTTGTTATTGCCAATGACTCATGCAAGTTGTACTTGGAATTGACATGGCAGTTTTGTTGGGCAGCTGACAGCGGTCTGCAAGCCCTGTAACCGCAATTCAAATGTTAGTCACCAGTCGAGACACACTTTAATCGTGTGATTTATAGTTCAACAACTTGTTACTTGTCCGCCACTCTAGATACTGTTGTTATCTGCGTTAATTTAATGAACTTTAGGCCCTCAAACTGTCAGCACGATCCATTAATCCATTTGTCTTACACAACTCCAATGTTTTTCATCCGAAATTCGCTGCTCTATTAGTTAATTGCAGGGAATACCGAGAGCCAGGGGTTGAATGAAAATAGCAACTTGATATTTAATAAACGTTCTACCCGAGTAACAAGAAATACAGCCAGAAAATTGTGGAAATAATCCAGAATGGGAAATTATCAGGTCCCCTGGGGCAACTCATTGTCCCCAATGCAATTTGCGATTTTAAAAAATTGCAGCCTCATACTCGCAGGAGCTCGTTCAATTATTCCCTCAACTTCTGATCTCCATTTCTGAATTCAGATTTGTGAAAACGTTCATTCCATCGTAACCATAATTTAATGTGAAATCGAGTAACTCGGTGCAACGAAAATATGTACACGGACGTCGTATAACATTTCAATGGGCCAGGTTGAACTGGCACGTGTTCAGAGCAGAGCTTGTAAAATCCCAACTGCCACACCACTCCCAGTACTCACGCTTTTTGGCTGCAATAAAATTATCGGCATTTTGTACGAATGCCCGCTATTTTTTTTGTCTCTCCATTCTGTTTTACTTTTTTCAACCCCCTCGGTTGTTGAAAAACCCACGGGAAATGTTGGCTGCACGATAAAACGAATTAAATAAAAAGAACGAGAGAAAAATTCATAAATCCACGAGTAAACATAAATTTTTATGATTTATACGAATAACCGCTCGGTGGCTGATATACTCCATTAATTATCCTCCCCTTCATATCGGATTTGTTCTTGATCTGTTAATTGATCCGAAATTCGATGGAACGAGTCCGGATTTTATCGAATAAAAATTAAGAACTTTATCAAATATTTCGAATTTTCGATTAATAAATTCGAATGAACTTTTGTAAAATTCATTTTTTTTTCCAATCGAAAAAATTCCGTCATCGATTCTCGGATATTTCTACGGAGTAATCATCGACTTATTTATCTGAAAAATGTATTCCACGATGCGTGAAAAAATCACGGTGAACATGACTGTTTTTAGCCGAATAATGGAGGCAACGGGGAATTAAGTTAAACGCTTGCGCGATTTAACGTTAACAACTGGAAAGCGTAATACGATAATAATCGAGGACAGAGTGAGACAGTGAGTTACTCAGGTTTTCTCGTTTTGCCCTCATCGCACGTGTTACGACGTGTGCACGGCAGATGTAATTAGAGGGTGAACGCCAGAGTTGTAACTCAAGATATATTCTCTTCCTCCTTATTCTACCCCATTCTCCTCCAAACGAGCACGCAAAAATATACGTATTGTCTTGGACGATGTGTCTGTAATTAACGTCTCATATTGTCTAATGTCTTTTTTACAAGCCCCTCGAAAGAGCAACATTACGAAAATTCTCATTACAACGCAAATAAAATAATCGCAGTTAAAGTTCATCTATTTTAAAATCAGTTACTCTGAAATCAAATTTGAAATTAAATTATTATTCATTTATTTATTATTTGAGAAACAGAAAAATCCACAGATTTCAACGCAAATATTTATATTTGGATTCCCATATGAAGGGAATTTTAATGTATAAATTTTAATGATTTTAACGTAATTTAATTTGTGTAATGATTTTTTTTTTCAGAATCACTTGAAATTCAGACATTTGAGACATCGCAGACAGCACGGAGAAGGTTACGTCCCAAGTAGTTTCGTACCAGACAATGAAGACCCAGAGGAGGGCCTCTGGGGTCCCTGGTCTGCCCCATCCTCATGCTCTCGCTCATGTGGAGGTGGTGTTGCCCATCAGTCGAGAAGATGTCTCGACTTAGAGTGAGTATCAATTTCCAACACGTCAACCTCAGCAAAACGGCTGCCAAGCATTGACCAACATCACTGCCAATTATTACCATCAAATTCGTCTCATCACGGGGCTAATCCGCCCGAAATGAAATTCCATTCCAATATTTGAACCAACGGTTTAAAAATATTTTCCAGCTCCTGTAATATCCATTATCATGATTATCCGGGGTATTTAATTAACCGTGTCGTTAAAAAAAAAATTTTCTCTCCAATTGTTTCCCCAAATTGAATAGAAATGAAAAAAATGGAAATGACGAGCGTGCGGTACGTGAAATTTTAATACAAAAGACTATGAATAAAAAAAATCCATTAATCGCACTCACAGTGGAGAGCCATCGGAGTGCAGAGAGAGGCGCTGAAATAATAATTCACCAGTGAAAACCGGTTTTATCGGTAACCCGAATTTAATAGCCACCAGGCATTCTCCCTCTTTTCACCTTCTACTTGTGCGATTCTTTCTGGTTAAAAGAGTTGAATTATTAGAAAGCAAGAATGGGGAGGAACGAGAAAACTAAAGCGCAAAGCGGTTTAAAAAAATGGGGTGACGGGGGTGGAGAGTGAAAATAATATAAAAGATCAAGTGAGGGACTTTAACTGGACTTTGGTTTTTTATGTATGTGAATTTCTGGCTCGTTCTCCTCTCGCATATAAATTCGTTCGACTTTTCCTTGAGAACTGAGAGAAAAGCCACAGAAGTGGGAGAAAAGGGGAAAACCCAACGGTCTGTGAGCGCCGATTAGATTTTCACCCTTTACTTTTCATTCGATTGGAAATTTATATGATGAAGGAAATCAAAAAGGTTTTTTTGTTTTTTTTTTGTTTCAGTGACAATGGGTATGACCGGTGTACAGGTGCCAAAAGGCGGTTCTTCTCCTGTAATATTCAGGTAAGAAATTTAAAATAATGAAATTTAATTGAATAGGGGATGAACATATTTTTCATAAATAATTTTTATTAATTAGTCCTTAATCTTTGATATCTATTCACCCAACGATATGAATTCCATTGAATCGACCGCCATTTTTCAAGCTGTAAAAAATACTAGTACTAGTAAGTAATTTTTAAAGTATTTTTTTTTGCCGGACGATTGAAGAGGATCCATTTATCCTTATAATTTTTTATCGGAAAATGTCCGCGGTGCATTTGATGTAATTTTTCATTGTCACTCCTTGACTCAGATTTGTCTTCGACTTTTCTATTTATCATTTTCACCTTTAACAAATTCACTCCTTCAATTAATGCGAGTGCCACGTACTTCAAGTGCAATTGTGCAATTACGTTGGGATGAACGAAATAAAAGTCTCAAGACAGAGTTGAGTGCAGGTAGAAAGACAGATGCTCACTTCTACTGTCGACTGACGACTCTGCCCTGAATTAATTAGTCGTCTCTGGGTTGATAAAGAATTTCAGAGTTCTACTTCATCCCGTCCTTTATCTCGGCAATATACCTATAACTCCCTCACTTCCTTTATTTCCTGTGTCCCTGTCACCCAAGATCCAATTCACCGATAAAGAGATTATTTGTATCGGTATATTGTTCCTAGGACACTCAATCTTCGTCTTAATACCGTTGGAAAATTACACTCGAAAATGACATTTAAATTTTCCGATTCTTGAAAAATCCCACGGAAAGTTCTCGCAATTATTTCTTCGATTGCCCAATTTTCTTGAATTGTTAAAGCAAATGAAAATTACCTAGTGTTTTTAATTGAGTTTAATTTAATTCAATTCAAACTCATTCAATTAAAAATTCAGAAAGGTTTAAAAAATCGGCACTTCCTCAACATAAAAAAAATCAATTGAAAATCTTGTCTTAGTGTTCGATAACTCTATCATCTTTTGATCCTCGTTCTCTGCGGATTCTCATATAAAAAATTTAGTCTTATTATGGGAGTCAAGTTTAATAAAACTCACCTGAAGAATTCCAAGCGTTCGCTGGTCTTTATTGATTGGATCCGACGTCAAAATTGCTCGGAGAAAATAAAATAGTTAAAATTCCGGTGCTGAAATCCACATGTAGTAGACGTTACTAAAGTTCAATAAAAAGTTCGGGTAACAAAACAATTCCATTTTTTGGGAATGTTTTGGAAAATTTTTCAAAAATTTGTTTCGAAAAATTTTTTAAATAATTTTCTAGAAATTTTTGCGAAATTTTTTCTTTTAATTATATTGTTGTTTTCTTACTTCTTTATTTTTTCAATATTCTCATTTCCGAGATTACTCAGCCCTGAAATATAAATGATAAAACCGCAAACATTAATACCCTCAATCTGTCCCACATTCTCCGTTGAAAATAGATTTCAACAATAGAAGAGCGATTTGTCTCGCTAGCCCATCTATATTCCCTAGGTGAAGACATACTTCATGACAGTTGTAAGTCCAGTAGCTCAAGCTAAACAAGGGAGATGAATACATAGGGGCAAGCCACATAACTCATTCTAAACTTAAACTCCCAACAGACTCGACGTCTCAGTGTTCTCCAAAGAAAATACCTCATCTGGACATTGGCCTGAGAAACCAAGGAGGAGAGCAATATTCCCTCGTCACCCTGTCACCAATACCTCCAACCACATCCCCTTCCTCGTTTATTCCCTCTTACAGAAATATTCTATCCAGCCCACGTAAGAGTATTTCCCCCACTTCAAACCATAAATTCAAACAGTCCATCCTACTTACCTCCCTAGGGACATCTTTTTCGTTTAACCTGGAGCATGTGTACGCCTACCCTTTTATCCAGGTCAATTTATCGGTATTATTGGTGGATTCACTCATACATTTGTGGAACTGTGCACTTCAGTGCCGCTGTGGTACGTCTAAATTTTCATCAGGAACTCGATGATGGTCATGTACACGTGAGTGATGAGGGGAAAGCCCCGGTCGTACCCACGAGACCACCAGAAGACGTTATCCTTCAAGTACATCACCTGCGGGGTTAACCATCTTTCATTATTCAACCGGAGGGGCGGTTCCCCTAGTTGTTTATCTAGTCGTTTGACTTTGGCTTTCTTGAGCATTCCTTCGATAATTCTTTCGGGGAAACACTTGGGACCCGACAAAATATTAATAATAATAATAATATAAAGGGAGTGAAGATAATTGCAAGTGATGACAGTCGACCGTTGAGTGGCCCTTGGCAAAATTAAAAACACCGGCTGATAATTTACCGGTACATTCACTGAAAATATAAAATTCAATAGTCGATATGACATCAAAATGATATCTCATTTCAGGGGTAATTTCGTTAAAGTGCAAAACTATAATATTTTATGTATCCCCCAGCCTTGCTCCAACACGACAGACTTCCGTGGTGAACAGTGTGCCGAATTCAACACAGTGCCATTCGAGGGTGTATTTTATGAGTAAGTATTACAACTTTCTCCGTAATATCCTGGCACGAGGGTATTCTGGAGTGCAGCCCAAGGAAATCCGGGTAATATTGAATAAAGGATTTCCTGGACGAGACACCAGAAGACCGACCGAGCCAATGTAGAATATTTCCTCTTGTTATGTATGTTTGTACAACTGGGTTTTGAATGAAAAAAAAAACAATTTATACTTTATTTCACTTGCCAGCTGGATACCGTACACCGGTGGAGCAAACAAGTGTGAGCTCAACTGCATGCCAAGGGGTGAGCGGTTCTTTTACAGACACAAACTCACTGTAATCGACGGTACGCCCTGCGATGCTGAAAAAAATGATGTTTGTGTCGAGGGAAAATGTTTGGTATGTTATTCCTTTGATGAAAAATACTATATTTTTTTCCGAGCCAATGAATTTTCCTTGTATGTGCAGTCTTGGAAAAAAAAAAATGTATGACGGACGGTGTATCTCGTCAGTGATTTTTTTTTCTCGAAAAGTTGATTGTTTCAGTGCTCGAACGAAATAATGAACAAAAAACTTCTCAAAGTATAAATTCACTGGATCACGTTTCGCGTTCTCAACGCGGAATTCAAAAAGATAAAATAGAAATGTGATATTGTTTGAAATTCTTGAAAAAAGAATTGTACCTTTGGTGTTAGAAAATTTCTCCAAGTTTTTAACGGTGTGATTACTTGCTCTAGTGTTTTTGCATATAAATTCATGGATTTTTCTGGTAATTCGTAGCCTGTGGGGTGTGACATGATGTTAGGAAGTGACGCACGTGAAGATGCCTGTAGAGAATGCGGTGGTGACGGCTCCGATTGTAATACAGTAAACGGTCTGTTTGACACAGATGACCTACAAGGCGGTAAGTACCGGAAAATTAATAAAAAATAAATGCTAAAAATCCGTTAATTCCATCACCTTGAATAATTCATGGAATTCGATTGAAATCTCGTTCCAGGGTACGTCGACATTCTTCTTATTCCTGAGGGTGCAACTAATATCGTTGTGAAGGAAGCATCCCCCTCAAATAATTACCTCGGTAAACTCACCTCCATTACCCCAATAATTTGATTAATAAAATCTAATTGCGAGGAATGTTAATGGAATTTGATGAAAAATTATGGTATTGCAGCAATTCGAAACACGTCCGGTCATTACTATCTCAATGGTAACTGGAGAATTGATTTTCCAAGGAGTTTGAGATTCGCCGGTACTGTATTCCATTACGCCCGAGATCCACAGGGTTTCTCAGCGCCGGACACTATCACTACCCTGGGACCAACAACCGAGGCAATTTATATAGTCGTGAGTACTCACAATATTTATTCCCTCTTTCTACCCCATCAGAGCCACTCCAGTTCTCTCAAGAATTCCAGTTACCCCATTTACTCAAACTTTTATCATTACTCTTATTTTTATCCACTAAATGTGACTCTTTCAATTTTTCAAAAAGCTTCTCTACCAAGATCACAATGTCGGTGTGCAGTATGAGTACAGCATACCGAAGAAATTTTCGCCTCAAGGGAATCCGGATAGTTACACGTGGACTGCTGATGAATTCTCTGAGTGCAGTGCTACTTGTGGAGGCGGTAAGATTGCTTCAGCAAATTTTCCTCTTTTTCCTTTTGTCAAATTGTGAAATTTTTTATGACACGAGGAGTTACACGCATTAATTGAAACAACGATGAATGAAAATTAAAACAAAAAAATCCCCAGGATTTCAATCAAGACTTGTCAACTGCGTGCGTCGTCGTGACAACGAGCCTGTAGATGAAAATCTCTGTGATCCTCAACTACAGCCTATTGCCACTCAATCTTGCAATGAGGTATCTTGTCCACCTGAGTGGATCTCAAGTGAATGGGGATCCTGTAGCAAACAGTGCGGCGACGGTGGTGAGCGTCACAGAGAGATCAGATGCCAGCAGATCGTGGTCGGTGGTATCCCAGCTATCATCGACGATTCAGCTTGTGTCGAGAAAGTTGGAGCGAAGGGTGAGACCACCCAGGAATGCAACAGGAATGTAACGTGTCCCCAGTGGCACTTGGGCCCTTGGAAACCGGTACGATAATCCCATTTTTCTCTCCTCACATTTCCCGTTAATTATAAATTTCAATATTCATTAAATATTTTTCAGTGCGATCATTTGTGCGGAGAAGGTAAGCAAACGCGTAAAGTGACTTGTTTCAAGAAGAACGAAGACGGAAAAATTGAAGTCTTGGAGGATTCGGCGTGCGAGGGTGAGGTACCGGAGAAAGAGAAATCCTGTGAATTACGTCCTTGCGCTGGACTCGATTGGGTCACCTCTCAGTGGAGCGGGGTAAGTAACACAACAGTAATCCCCAGAATAAACAAACAGTTCCCCACAATAAACAAACAGTTCCCCAGAAACACTACAAGAATCTAAACAAAAGAGAAAGCCTTTCATACTGTAAACGAACGATCGAACGACTAGGTTCGTTCAATTTCCTACAGCGGGAAAAAATCCTGAACATACCGACAATGTTTCATTTATTACCGATTTATCGGATACATTCAATGACGAATGAAGAGGCTTCACGAAAGTCTCTTATATCGTCTTATAATAATTAATTACAGTGCGACGAAAAATGCGGCTTAACTCAGGAAACGCGTACAGCACATTGTGCTACACAAGATGGTACAGTCTACCCGGACGACAAATGCGATCCGGAGAAGAAACCTGAATTGACGCGTGAATGCGAGCATTCACAAGGATGTGACTATCAGTGGTATGCGACTCAGTGGAGCGAGTGCTCAGCGAAATGTGGCACAGGGGTTCAAACGCGAAAAGTTTTCTGTGGAACATTCGAGGACGACGTAACATTGAAGAAAGTGGAAGACGAGAAGTGCGCTGCTGAGAATCGTTACAACGATACCAAAGAATGTACTGGAATAGTGACGGAATGCAAGGGTGAGTGGTTCGCTGGACCATGGAGTGAGTGTACAAAACCTTGTGGCGTTGGTGATCGTACCCGTAAGGTCATCTGCATGAAGGACAACATGGTTGTATCATTATCCAATTGCGATGCAGATACGATAATGTTCAGCAATGAGGAGTGTAACAAACAGCCCTGCGATGAGGACCAAGTGATTCCTGTGGCCGTGAGTGAGCCAACTCCTCCTACCGATGAAGAGGACGACTGTTTGGTTTATGAGGATGAGGAGTTTGTTACGTCTTCATTAAGTTTGGGTGATGGTGAGACAGGATCGACACCATCAGCCGTTTCTGGCGACACAGATAGCACTGCAGTTACCGATGATATGATGAGCGATAGCCCTCGGGGGGATATTTCACCATTGGACGATGGAAGTGGTTACACCAGTGGTTGGGGAAGTGGTGATGGAGAGTTCACATTATTCAGTTCAATCTACACTGAAAGCTCGATCGTAGACATTGATCTGTCGACGCCGGAGGGTAGTGGTTCAACTGATGACACGTCCAGTGTAATAGATACAGAGATGACGGAGATCACAGGGATCTCAGGTAGTGGAGAAACTGGTGGAACTTCTGAGTCGAACGATATTCCGGAGATCACAGAATCTTCTACAAGCGAACAGTCGACTGAAGGCTCTGCGTCGACTGAATCTGTTGGAATTTCCGAATCTGCCAGTTCCGAAGGAACGACTGAGGTATCAGGCATTACTGAGTCTTCAGGTGATAGTGAAGCTTCAGAATCAAGTACGCAGTCGTCAGCCGTTACGGAAACCCCAAGTGAAGAGACGACTATATCAGGGTCTTCTGATTCATTATCTACCACTTCGTCTGACTCTTTGACTGAATCTTCGACTGACTCTTCTGCTGAGTCTTCATTTGAGGCTTCATCGACGCCTTCGTCTGACTCTTCAAGTGAGTCTTCAGTTGACACTTCATCGACGTCTTCGTCTGACTTTTCAACTGAGGCTTCATCTGATTCTTCACCATCAGCTTCGGAATCTAGCGAAGAAACTACAGTAGAATTGACTACCGCTTCAGACACTTCAGACATTACCACAGCTTCTTCTGACTCCGGTAGTGAAGAAACGACTGTCTCTTCATCCGAATCTACCGATGCTTCTCAGTCGACTGAAACTACAGAGACGGTCACCACTGAATCTACAGAAACTACACCATCTTCTGAAACTGAATCTACCGTATCTGAAATGACTGAATCTACTGTAACGGAAGTTTCTCAATCGAGCACAGAATCTAGTACAGATATCAGTACAACGGAAAATTCATTCTCAAGTTCGACAGAGGCCATTACTACTTCCTCCAGCACTGAGCTTCCATTCACAATCGATCAGCCGATAGGAGAGTATGATCCTGATGAATCGGAGAATATTGACGAGGCTGAAAAGACAGGTGAGTCCGATGACACCACAACGATTTCAACGGACGGAGTAACAGACTTGCAATCAACCTCCGAATTTTCTACTGAGTCTGAAGGATCGACTACCGAATCGTCAACCATATCCGAAATTGACGAAACCACTGGGTCCACCATATCAACTCAATTCTCGGAAACTACAGATTCTTCCCAAACAACTGAATCCGGAGGGACAACGGAGACTGGAGAGACTACAGTATTTTCGGAGACTACAGAATTGTCTACAGAAATTTCGGAATCCACCGTGACAACAGAATCAGGTTTGACGACTGAGAGTGAAACTGAAGGATCGACAGTATCTGGGCAGACCACTGTATCGGGAGACACTACAGTGTTTGAAGAAAGTACACAATCTGGAGAAACTACAGTGTCTGGAGAAACGACAGTGTCTGGAGAAACGACAATGTCTGGAGAAACTACAGTATCTGGAGAATCCACAGTATCTGAAGAAACAACAGTGTCCGAGGAAATCACAGAATCTGACCTCCCGACGGAATCAGGTGAGACGACTGTGTCATCATCGACCGACGAGACAACCACCGAAGAAGAGGAGACAGACCTCACCGAGAAATCCTCGATCCTCGATATCTTCGGAACAGTTAGTCCAGTTGACATCGCCATATCTAAAGAACAAAAAATGCGCAAGTGCAAAGTCCGAAGGAAGAAGACGTGCAAGGCATCGGCATTCGGTTGCTGCTATGACGGCGTCACACCGGCGAAGGGGCCCTTTGGAAAAGGCTGTCCAACACCCGAGACCTGCGATGAAACTAAATACGGCTGTTGTCCTGACGGCGTTTCAGTGGCAGCTGGACCGAAGAACGAGGACTGCCCGTCACAACACTGTAACGAAACTCTCTTCGGTTGTTGCCAAGACGGCGTCACACCGGCTGAGGGTAACGACTTCGAGGGCTGCAAGAAGCCCTGCAACGAGACTGAATTCGGTTGTTGTCCAGATAAAGAAACCCCAGCACTTGGACAGGACAATCTTGGTTGTTGCAATGTCACTGAATACGGTTGTTGTCCTGACGGCATCAGAGTGGCGACCGGACCTGACGGTAAAGGCTGCGAGGAAGAAGTCACTGAAGAGACTGAATGGACTGACGTCTCAGGAGAACAAATGTCGACTACACCATCAATGCAAGAAGACTGCAACAACTCCACGTACGGATGCTGTCCAGATGCCCACACAGCAGCTACCGGAATCAACTTCGAAGGTTGTGGAGTTATTAATCTCGACAACTGCACAGTCTCGTACTTCGGCTGTTGTCCAGATAACGTCACAGCGGCACTCGGGGATAACGAGGAAGGATGCCATGGAAGCTGCGAAACAACTACTTACGGATGTTGTTCAGACAAAACAACTCCAGCCCATGGGCCGAACGCAGAAGGCTGTTGTCTCACGTCGGCCTACGGCTGCTGTCCAGACAACATTCAACCGGCTAGAGGACCCGACAATTACGGCTGTGGCTGCGAATACAGTAGATTCCGCTGTTGCCCTGACAACACAACCGCGGCGAGAGGACCAAACAACGAAGGATGCGGCTGTCAATATACGCAACACGGTTGCTGTCCAAATCGCTTCACACCAGCCACCGGACCGAACTTCGAAGGCTGTCACTGCTACACTTATCAATTCGGCTGCTGCCCGGATGGCGTCACCATTGCAAAAGGACCTCACAATCATGGCTGCGGCTGCGAAAATACTCAGTTCAAATGCTGTTCAGACGGTCAAACACCCGCCAAGGGGCCCAACTTCGCAGGATGCACCTGTGACGCTTCGAAGTTTGGCTGCTGTCCCGATGGCATCGACGAGGCACAGGGTCAAAACTTTGAGGGCTGCAGAACTGTTCCAGCTGTACCTGGGGCTGCCTGCGGTCTTGACAGGGACAGAGGATCCTGCCGAGAATTCACCGTCAAATGGTTCTTCGATACTAAATACGGAGGCTGCTCCAGGTTCTGGTACGGTGGATGTGATGGCAATGACAATCGGTTTGCCACACAGGAGGAATGTAAGGATGTGTGTGTCACACCCAAAGGGAAAGATATCTGCACTCTGCCTAAAAGTGCTGGACCCTGTCAGGGGTATCATCCTACGTGGTACTACGATGCTGAGAGGAAACAGTGTGGACAGTTTATCTACGGTGGCTGTCTTGGAAATGCCAACAAATTCAAGACCCGGGAGGAGTGCGAGGCTCTTTGTGTTGTTCCAGATGATGCCAATCCTTGCGAACTTGAACAAGACGTCGGACCCTGTCAAGGCAACTTTACCAAGTGGTTCTTTAATAAAGAGTCCCAAGCTTGCGAACAATTCCGGTACGGCGGCTGCAAAGGGAATACCAACAAGTTTCCGACTGAGAGTGCTTGTCAACAGCAGTGTCTTCAGCCTGGACACAGCCGAGGTAAAATTATTAGCCTTTCATTGGAAGTTCGTTGGAATTTCATTGGGATTTCATTGGGATTTCATTGGGATCTTTTGATATATTTGTCGTGGTAATTTTGAATGGAAATTGGGATGACACTAATGCAAATTTTTAACGATTTTTGAATGATCCGTTTGGATGATTTTTGTTTGCGAATTATTAATCAATCATTCCAGTAACTCAAGACGAGTGTGCACTGGACAAAGATTCTGGGCCATGTCCTGGTTCACTCCTGCGATGGTATTACGATACTAGTAGCAGTTCGTGTAGGCAATTTGTTTACGGGGGTTGTAAAGGCAATGGCAATAAATTCCGCACGCGGGCAGACTGTGAGGAGCGTTGCCTGATATCAGGTACAAAGTTGAGGAGAAAAATGGAGAAACCGGTGATTTAGGTGGTGGTGGGCTTAGCTGTAGTGTTTTAGCCGAAACTCTTCGAGGATTTAGCTTAGGCCATGTGCACGTGTTAAATTTTTAGGAAGGTAGTGGCTGGATTACGCTGATATTCCATAGGGTGTATACCTCTCGCATACGTCCGTTGCCTTTTACGCACCTCCTAGTCGTACTGGTAATTTATCGACGTACCTGTCTCGGGTTCAGCGGGCATTATTTTCAAATAGCTTTTAGCTAGTCATTTTTTTTTTATTTACCGCAATTTCTCGGCGAATTTCCGTTTTCTGAATAAACTAATAATAATCAACAAAAACTATAATATCAAATTTTATATTGGATAAAGAAATAAAATCAGTTTATCGGTCGCGCGCGTTATAAACGTAGTAAATTTTCGTCTCGAAATTTTTCAATGAGAATTCACACTGCACTCATAGATAACGCATTATTAACAATGAATGATATAGTTTATTCTAACTCTGCATGTGTTATTAAAATGGTGTTAGATTCATGCTCGTTACCACGAGCGGAGGGTAACTGCGGCGAGAAACTATCGAGATGGTTCTTTGATCAATCCGAAAACAGATGCATGCCGTTCTATTACACTGGATGCAGTGGTAATAGAAATAACTTTGAGTCTAGAGAAGCATGTGAGAAAGATTGTCCACCAAAGATTGGTAAGGAATGGAATAAATCACAACTTATACTGAACACTCAGCTTTTTTTTTAACAAATCGCTATAGCAGTCTCACGGAGAGAACGCATACGATAATTGAGGGGTTCTTTTTATTTATTTAGAACAAGACATTTGTCTTCTTCCTGCGCAACTTGGTGAGTGCCACAATTATACTCAGCGCTGGTACTTTGACTCTTACGAGAAACACTGCAGACAATTTTACTACGGCGGTTGCGGCGGTAACGAGAATAATTTCGTTAATGAGGACGATTGTATGAATCGTTGCGAATCACCGAGTGCCACTCCCCCATCCCATCCTCGGCCATTTTCACCAGGTATGTTGAAGATGGATTATCCTCCTGAGTGGGATCTCTATGTGATCCTCTTATCAATATGTTACGATTCTGAGGTTTAATGATTTCATAAAAATTTAGAGCATATCTAGACATAATCGCATGCTCCATCATTTTTTATTGAAAGATTGATTTCATCGAGAGCCCATGTTAATGGAGATTAAACTGGCAGAGGATTTAATTTATCACTAATAAGAGACTGCTATCACTTTGGAACAATTTAAAATCAATATGGGGTTTTTATGTGAAGGGTAAAATAATATTTGCCCATCCCGGGTCAGTTGGACTTTGAGGATTAATCACAATTTGATTAAGCCGCTAATTGCCACGGATATGTAAACATCAAAGAGAAACCCTTCGTTCAGTTTTCAGAGCTTAATTGAGTTAAATTATACACGAAAAAATTGGCGTTGGTTAATTCTTTCGTGCTTCGGTGCACAGTGAGAATATCACTCGGTGATTGATCCTTTGACGGATTTAGGTTGGAACAAGGATTAATTGTCGGAATTTGGCTTTGTTCCATTTTAAAAATTGTAATAATCCATAATTCAAGTCAGTGAATTCCGTTTTTCCATTATCGAATCGCCATGTGAGAAAATTGGATTCATTCCACGAATACCGTACATTATTGGTGAGAGGAGTATAAAGATAACAAATGTGAAAATAGAGATAAATGAAGTCGGTAAATTTAAAAAATGAATTACTCCGAGCTAGAGCATTTTTCTTCCTCAGTCATGTGCTTCCTCCCTGACGAACGAGGCCCCTGCAGTAATAATGAAACAAAATGGTTCTACGACTCCAGAGATGGAATCTGTAAACAATTTGTTTATGGCGGATGCGCTAGCAATGGAAATAAATTCGAGTCGAGAGAGGAGTGCGAGTATCGCTGTGGAGAAGTGCAAGGTATGACGCCCGAATATAAATCGAAAATCAAGACTGCCACGTGTACTCCATCAATTTTTCACAGAAAAAAAAAAAAATCTCGTTCGATTCACTGATAGAGAAAAATATTTCAGATATTGCATTTCAACTGGATAACTCATCATTATAGCGTCACTCTCATCTAAAAAAAAAACGAATAATTATCATTTTATTTTCGCGTTTCATTGTAATAGAGATTTCCGCGACATTGATTCGACGAGAATTTTTAATTGTCAATGTCTTGTGAAAACTCCAGATGTCTGCAGTATGCCAAAAATCATCGGTCCCTGCAGTGGCTCTGTTATTCAATATTATTACGAAAGGAGCACAGACACTTGCGAGGAGTTCGAGTACAGTGGCTGTGACGGCAACAGAAATCGTTTCCAAAATCGCGTCGAGTGCGAGGGCAAGTGTCAAAGGCGGCCTAAACCGTATAAACCAACTGAATCAACTCCAGTGGAAGTTGTTCCCAGTAGTCCAATCTGCATGGCTCCAGCTGATGCTGGTCCTTGTCGTGGTGATATCACTACTTATTACTACGACTCTGTATCAAAGAGGTGTCAAGCATTCATCTATGGTGGATGCGGAGGAAATGCCAACAGATTCCAGACCGAAGAGCAGTGCGAGCGTCTTTGTGGGCGATTCCAAGGCCAAGGTTTGTTAATCATCAACTGCATCGATTACTATTAATCGGTTAAAAAAATAGTATAAATACATCTCCCAATTTTTTTATTAAAATTGATTAGAAGACGCTTGGCTCTTGAAGATGTTATAAAACTGTACTATTGCACATTCATCTCGGGAATGAATTTTTTTTTTGCGTAATTCCTTTATTCAGACATGTGCAATCAACCGGTGGATTCTGGTCCATGTCGTGGCGCTTTTCCCAAATTCTACTATGACCCGAGTGCACGTGCGTGTCGTCAATTCTTCTACGGAGGTTGTGACGGTAATGCCAACAGATTCAGCACACAACCAGAGTGCGAGTCGGTTTGTATTCATCGGGAGGAGCCCGTCCCTGCCGGAAACGACACTGCCCTCTCTCATCTCGGTAAGTCTCTTCATCAATCTTTCAAGGTGTTTCGCCAGATAGTTCGAGATGATGAAAAAAGCAGTTAAAGTCATTGCCGAAAAGCCATTTTTCTCCTTTCCCTTCTTTTCTTTCTATCCCGTGTGAGTTATTGGCGAAACACTTTAGGATATGGAATGAAACTGATCTGAAATTCTAACACTATTTATTGAATGTACCTAACAAATTTCTTGGATTCTAACACTGATCGATGGTATAGAAATCTGTCGAGAACAAGTGGACGTGGGTTCCTGCCCGAGTGGTAGTTACAAGCGTTTCTACTTCGACGAGGAACGTCAAACTTGCATGGCATTCGTTTACACTGGTTGTGGTGGTAACCGTAACAGGTTCAAGACCTTCGAGTCTTGTATGCACATGTGTTACAGAAGTAAGCACTTACGGATTAATGATTTGCATGATTCAAGGGACATATTGTAATTGATTGCATGCGTTGGGGGTGACGTGATTTTGTACCGATGTCTGAATTGAACTATTGCACCTTTCGCCTGTCTGGAGCAATTAAATGTCTCTTAGGCGAAGTAATTTCCGGATTCCACATAAAAATTGAACGATATTTATCTAGCGAGCAACGAAATAGACGTGGGTAACAAGAATCCATCGAAGGATCCGTGCGCGGAGGCGAGGGACGAGTGCAGTCAGATGCGTTGTCCCTACGGAAAGGAAGAGTTCGTCGATGATCAGGACTGCGGCAGATGCCGATGCGTCGACCCATGCAGATCCGTTTCTTGCCCCGACGACACAAGATGTTCGATTATCCTCGGAGCCTCTTCAGAGGGTGGCACCGAATACAAAGGGGAGTGTCGACCTGTGACGAAAGTTGGAAATTGTCCAGTCGTTTCAAACAGCACTAGGTGTGAACAAGAGTGTCGCGATGATGCCGACTGCCCTGACGAGAGGAAGTGCTGCAACAACGGCTGTGGAACTTCGTGCCTCGAATCTCCTCAAGAACCAGCTGAACCAACCCCTGCACCGTACATCACAATTCCTCCTTATGGTGGTGAACCGGCGGCTATTGAAACACCAGAGGAGCCACAAGTCTCTGCGGAAGAGGGTGGAATGGTCATCATGACCTGTATTACTAGTGGAGATCCAAAACCAATCATCACTTGGAAAAAGAACTCGCAAGTTGTGAGTATACCACAACAAAGTGACTAAGTATCTTTTGGCGTTTTCGTTCCTCATGACAATTTTTTGTTTAGATCCAAGAGGCTGAAGACCGAAAAAAAATTCTTGTTGATGGTTCTCTACGAATTACAAATCTCTACACTACAGATGGAGGTGTTTACATCTGCATAGCTGACAATGGGCTTGCACCACCAGCGAGGATAGAGTACAGATTAGACATTATAGGTATGTAAAAAATATATAGCAAGAGTCGATTGTTATCTAATTACGTAGTTATTTGGCGTTGGGTTATTGTTGTACTAATTCGACAGTCAGTCTGATGATTGTTGATTACTGTTTACTCAAATTTGAATGGACATCTAACATCATCAATTAACGAATGACACCAGTGGTTTGTTGGGGTTGATAACTAACTGGGTGCATGTGATGATTTACTCTAATTAGAACCGCACGAACACTCGACGGCTATTGTTGGTGAGCAGAATGTACACGTGACTGTGGCAATGAACTCCCCAACAACTTTGTACTGTTACGCAATGGGTTGGCCAAGGCCGGCTGTCACCTGGTGGCACGGTGACAGAATGCTACCCCTGCACTCTGAAAATTACGAACAGAATCCTGAGTATTCGCTTCTCATTCGATCGGTCACTATTACCAATCTTGGGGTTTACACTTGTCAGGCGTTCAATGGAATTGAACGTCCAGCTTCTTGGTCTGTCGTACTTCAAGCAATTGGACCGGTTTACAATGTCAAACCTGAGCATATGGAATTTGTCAAGTATTTAGTTCAACCACCGAGGGCCCCTCCTACTGATCGCCCTCAGTATCCTTACAGACCAGCTAGGACTCAAGCGCCTGAATATAATATCACTTACGCACCGATTTATCCAACTATTGCACCTCCCTATGTTCCACTTCCGGTTATTCCTCTTACTGAATCACCACCTGCTAGATTCAAAGGTGAGGGAGAGTTTGTGAATCGTATGATTAATTCGGTAGAATTTAGTGATTTGATGGAGAAATGGTTTTAGGTCGGCGGAAAATATTTCCGGTTTTGTCAAATATTTTTATTTTCTACAGAATCACTGCGGAGATTTAGAAACTGTCAAAAATGGATTGAAATTAAGAAATTGGATCAACTCGTACCATTTCACCATTTTCTACCAATTATTTTCTAATAATTCGCATAATAATTCTGCATGAATATCACATACATATGATTGGCTTGATTTTTTGGCTTTGTTGCATGATCTGCATTTTTAATATTAATTTTACGATTGATTTGCTCCTACAACTTTTCAGATTTATTTTTAATTCTCTGTGGTTTCGATGAAAAATACCAAAGATAAAATTTGAAATTCCATTTTTCCGATTCAGTGCCAGTGGCTGTTAACGTATCAACATCGGGAAGTGAATTCCCAGTGGGAAGTGAAATCAGTATTGGTTGTACTGTCGATGGATATCCAATCCCTAGAGTTTTATGGTTCAAAAACGATGATTTAATTCGCACTGACGGACGAGTTACGATTTCTGGTAAATCTCGCATAATCTAGAAATAAATTACGCCGACTATATTCCAGAAATCTGAGTGTTAATTCGGGAATTTAATTACAGAGGCTAATAGACTCATGATTACGAATGCAGGCTACAACGATACTGGAAGGTATCGATGCGAGGCTGCCAATGAATACTCGAGTGATTCAGCTGAATTAGACATAAACGTATCAGGTAAATGTTCACTCAGGGAATTTTACCCCGTCAATTTCACTCCGCGTAAAAATCATAAACACTTGCTCATGATTCATGAAAATCGTAATCCTCTGCTTCCAGGAATCTACATCCACCCAGATTGCCAGGACAACAGTTTCTTTGCGAAATGTGATCTAATCGTGAAAGCGAAATACTGTCAGCATCAGTACTATGCCAAATTCTGCTGTAGATCGTGCACAGAAGCCGGTCAACTTCCACCAACAGGTCCGCACTTATCGAAATTAACCAGAAGAAAACGGTCAGTTAAATCATTCTTCTAACTCCCCACACGAGAACCATTCCGTTCGGTAAATCCAATTAGAAACCATCAATCGGGAATTTTTCCACTGAGAAAATCATTCCGAATAATAGAGAAACCGAACACGGTTGAGTCTCGTTCACTGCCAAAGCCTTAGAACGTTTATTCATAGCTACTTCTAAAATACGGAATCAAACTTTTTTTTTTCTCGAAATTTTTATCGTGGGGGATGACTTTTTCATTGGGGAGCATCGAGAATGTATCGATGTATACACGATTTGACGCTGATCAACTAGTCGATAAGGTGCCGACAAGTCCCTCACTGATGATAAACTCTGTTGACGGTGGATTGTTTTCATGATTTAAAAAAAAAAATCAAACTCTTTTTGCTACATAACTCATAACTTCGGTTCGCGGTAAAAATTCTTCGCTTCTCATTAGCTATTTCAGTTTCTTCATTGCAATGCGACAGAGTAATATCGAATATCTGCTGAATGAAAGACAGTACGTACTTTAAATACGTTATATTGTATATGAATATAGTTTATCTTGTACGTTATAAACAGTTGATACTCCCCTAATAATTAATAGTAATAATTTTTCATAATTTTTTTACAACATTGAAGTATCAAAAGAGTCTGTGGACTTTCAGTTCTTCCCCTCGAATCAAAATATCATCATGTACAGATTTATTTAAAACCGAATGAACAGGCGAAGCATTTATTATCTTTATAAATTCCATAATGCATTTATAATTATTCGTAAGTGTAATCCAGCAATTTATCAGGTGAATAAGAAAATTTTTAGAGTAAAGTGTAGTTGTTTAGACAGTACCAAAAGCATTTATTAATGTTAAGTAATTCTAATATCAATTCATATCTCGTAAATCGTCAGGATGATAATTGTTGGTGGGTTTTTCTGATGAGAAAAATGAGGGATAAATTGCAGCCCTCTTCATCATTAATCCCCGATGTTTCAGTCAGAGTTTGAAATGAACTCAGAGTGCCTTAAAATTTATCGATATCCTCATCGAGAACAGTGTTAGGACCACTATCATTGTAAAAATTCTTCAATCCACATTTATTTGTCGTTGAGGAATTTCTTTGTACATTAGATTCCCTGATGTTTGCTTTCCTTCCACTTTTCTAGTTATTTTTAATTCTTAATGAATACACTTGGGAACATACCTCGCATTAATTGAAGGTCATTTATTTGAAAGTACTTAGGAGATTACGATTCGATAAATTGTTGAATGAACGAGTAAGATACTCATGAGATTACCATAGAAGAGATTAAATAGAAATAAGAAATTCACTATCTCCCATTCATATCTTTCAGACTTATCAATTCCAATGAATATCATAGACTTACCGCGAACCCATTAATTTTAATTGTGAGTATTTTAGGTAATTAATATATTATTATAAACGTGTATGTAATATTCCAACTGTCGAAATGATGAAACATTATGGAATGAGATTAAAAATTATGGCATTATGCGAACGTATTGTATGGACAATAATAATATTTAAGGTCCTCAAAAGTATAGGATATATGAGAATATACATATTATATATTAAAGTGTAAACCAATTCGAACGATCTGTATCGTATGAATGTTAACATTATTGCTCTTATTGTCAAAGTATTCAGTTTTATTTACAGAATGAAAAATGTGTCCAATAAATTTTTTCTTCTTGAGCAAAAAAAAATGCTTTTCATAGCATAATCTGCGTGACTGATTAAACTTTCGCAGGCTATGCACGCTCATGGAGATTCAGCGCCATATTGAATTTCAGGCGGGCAGCCGACAAAATGGCGAGTGTCTAATTTTTTCGTATTTCGTTGAATTTGTAACAGAATAAGATGAGAATTGAAGAGGCATCCGATGTTTTCCGCCATTTTGACTCTTTGAAGAGCAGCTGATCCTTTCAAGTCAAATCGATAATTGAGCAAAATGTCTCTTTGAACAATTTTTCCCGTCCTTTGTTTTTAATTACTGTGAATGTCTCAGCAATGGCCGAGGTGAGCCAAAATCCACTTAAATTCACCCCAGAGAGATTAAAATCCAGGGAATATGATGGAAAATATAAATCATGGCGTCTCGTGAGTCTCCATCATCACCCGAGAGCTAGGGATTACTTCGAGAGTATCTCGGCGACTAACAAGGAAAAAAGAAGACAAAAAAAACATAAAAACTGGTGGATATTGCATCCATACAGCGCAACACGGTTAGTACACGTTTACTCCTTAATATTTTTTTCAATTTTCATTAACACCATTAGACATTCTTCCTTCAGGTTCTGCTGGGAGACCATCATGACGTTTATCTATGGAATTTCTTTCTTGATTATTCCCTTCATGACTAGTTTCATCATCTTTGATTACGATGCTGTCAGACTCGACAAAATCAGCCTATTTTTCTACATTGTTTTCTGGATTGATATTTTCCTGAACTGCGTCACTGGTGTTTACGTGAAGAAAGAAAGAATAGTTTCTTTCGATCACAGTGTTATCCTAGAGTAAGAACGGACATTAAGCGATTGACAGCAGTAGAGAAGAAAAAATTGGGTGGAATGTTATTAACTTGATCCATCGAATGTTCCTTTGTAGTCACAAATTAATTAAACAACAAGACATTGAATTTTCCGTATTTAATTTTTTGTTTATTCCCATTTTTCTATTCCAGTAATTATTTGAGAAGCTATTTACTGCTGGACGTGGCAACATCTGTACCTTATGATCATTTGACACATCAGTGGAGAACAGTACCGGGTTCTGAGTCCTCTCTACCCACTGTTTTAATTAATGTAATCCCCATAGCAAAGATATTCAGATATTTAACGTTTCATGCTTATGGTTCTCAATTGTTTCAAGTAAGAATCTCCACAGGAATTTTTTTTTCAATTGAACAACTCCTCTAATCTCAGTGCCATCATTTTTAATTACAGTATTGCCAAATAAAAGATTTTACTCACCGTATCATTAGTATTTTAATTCTATCATTCTACATTGTCCACTGGTTTGCCTGTTTTTGTTATCTCACCGCAGTTTTCGTCATGCACGTGCAGCAGGTCTCCGTAAAGGTATAATTTATTTATAAAATATCAATTATCTCTAACTTTCTGTAACATTATACTACGCTTCCACACGGAAAATGCATAAATGTATGTAATATGTAACTTCAATTGTCAATTGAATCGTCATCAACCTTTCACCTCGATTTTTTGGGTCAAGACCCAATGTATTTTTTTTTAACAAATTCCTCTCTGTGAGATACTTCAGAAATTATTAATAATTTATCAGTTAAACATAAACCAACATTGAAAACAAGATGAATGAATTATTTAATGGATTTAATGGATCCCTCGAAGGACTGTTCATGTTGGCTAGCGAAGTTAACAGATGAGGGAATCCCCGTTCGATTTCAACACGCCCTCTTCATAGTCCTTCAAAATTTTGTTGCCAGTGGATTCGGTGGAATCGAACCGGAATTCGAGGGTCAAATGATAATCTGCACTGTTCTAATGATCCTGGGAAGAATTTTCGAGGCATACGTTATCAGTGAGTCATTAGATTCAAATTGATTATCTGAATTGAATATAAAAATATTGCAGTTATGTTCCTGCAAATACAGAACGACAAAAAAGCAGCTCTATCAAAATACGAAGAGACGATGAATCAAATATCAGCTTACACTCGCCAAAAACAATTACCACCGCACATGAAAAAACGTCTGGAGGATTATTACGCCTATCGATTCAGGAACGCTTATTTCAGAGAGAGAAAAATATTGTCGACTTTATCAAGTGACTATGTTCTTGAGATGGCTCCCATCATGTTTTTTTTATTTTAATTATTCATAATAGGTCGATTACGAGAGGAAATAATTTTACATTCATGCAGAAGACTTGTGGAGAATGTAATTCTGTTCAGGGATTTACCGGATGAAACCATATTGGCAATCGTTACTTCTCTGAAATTTGAACTTTACCTGCCAGATGATGTGATCGTTAAAGCCGGTACTCAGGGTGACTGCATGTATTTTTTAAATAACGGAACTGTTGCCGTTTTTACACCCACAGGCCAGGAAGTGAGTCTTCCATTTTTATAAACATTAAATAAGTAAAAGATAAAATAAGTGAAAAATACAAGAATTTTCCATAGATCCACCAGTAATAGCAATTGAATTTAATTAAATTGTCAGGTTTGTCACCTAGAAGAAGGCGCGCATTTCGGTGAAGTTGCTCTACTTGTTCAAGATCAAAGACGAGTAGGTACAGTAATAGCAATTGAAGTCTGCGAGGTTTACAAGTTGGAACGTCGTGATTTTCGCAAATGCATCGCCGGTCACACGAAATTATTTGAGCGAATCGAGCGTATTGCCACTCAGAGAATGGACAGGACAATTATGATCGAAGAACAGCACAAAAGATTTCCTATGTACTTGAGATAATAAATAATTTATGGAATTCTCAGAATGAAGTTTTACCTTCTCGCCAAAGTCCGTGTAATTCTGTAATTATTATACTACATTACTTCAATTTTTCGCGCAATCTCAATTATTCCGGGGTCTTGAACTCGCGCGTTCTCCTCACGGCCTAAATACATGTGTTGAATTTTATTGAATTTTATTGAATTTTATTGAATTTTATTGATGCAAGACAATTGGAGTAATTAAAGTAAATGCTCGTTACATGTTGAGGTGATATTGATTAAGTATTTAAAATATTAGGTGAAGGCTCGGAATTTTCAGGACAGGACTGTGTCTATCTTGTTCTAGAAAAAGTAAATAAATTGGGGAATGATTGATTGAATAATTAATTATTGATTCAATAATTTATGAATAATTCATACGTACAGGCACAACTTGCTCGGCGACAGAGACCTGAACAGCACTGACTATCCCTGATGCACTGAAATCACACATATTCATTAAGAGAATAATAATAATAATTATTGAATTACTTTAATTACAGAACGGTACATCTTTATAAAATTGAAAAAAAAATGGTGTAATACGCGATTTCAAATTATTTCACATAATTTCAATTTAGAGTGACACAGTGATTTCCCTAATTAATAGCCCCACCTGATTACCGGGTAATTCACGTCTTGAATCTCGTCATTGACCCGTAATTACTCTTTAATTATCTTTTTTTTTTCAACACTTGAAAAAATATTATCAACTCACTCGAAGACCGCGTCCTCGGCATTGACCGCTGACAGCTACTGCTAACATTGCGATGACACCGAAAATGGAAAGGAGTTTCATGATTATTTAATAATTATTTATCGATTATTCGTTTAAAAATTTAATCGATTTTTGAAATATGCTTGAGGCATTCATGACAATCATTTATATACTTGCAGTCTGGTAGATTTTTCGTCCAGATTACGTTATAAAAAAAATGTTTTCCTGGTAAAAATGTTTGCGTACATGATTCATAAGATAAGAGTATCTTCAATTGAATTCACTGCGCATTTTTTAAAGTATCAAATTGTAGATATAATTGTAAATATATTGGAGTCACACGGAATTACAAAAAATTATTTCAGAATATACGAGATACATTTCTGGAATTTTCCCATAAGTTTATCATTCAATTTATTAGCAACAATGCCAGTTATTTATAAAAATGGAAAAAAAGTGGAAGGTGTACCACAGGTGAATATTCTGTTTTTTCCCTGCAATGAATAATAAAAAGATGAAACGAGAATATTCTCATTTACCGAGTACCGCCTGAACAAATATTTTCATGACGGATAATTTATTTTGATAACCCAAGCATTGTGACGCGACTGAAAAATTTTCTTCTTGTGCAAAGTCCATTATTTTTATTACTCCATTAATTTGCCATAAACAATAAAGATATGAATCTGGAATATTTTATCTCAAAATTGATCTGATCAAATATTGTCATATAAAATTTATTTTAATAGAATAAACTTCGTGGCGTATATGGGGCACTTTCCACCTATATAAAGCTCGTCATTAATACCGCTAATTAAAATCCGTCTTGGAAAGAAAACCTGAAACATATCTGTTTTCATCATGAAATTCGTCTTCGCTATCTTCATGTTAATTGCGATGATCGCAATGGGTGCTAATGGCCAATGCAGGGATTGGCCGTTTCAGGTTAGTGAAAATTAATAATATTGTTATTAATTTTCGCCCTACATTCCGCGATTAAAAGATTTCCCTCCATAAACAATTCGACTAAAAAATTAATAAAACGATTCACGTGATTTCAGTGTGCCTGGAATAGTCAATGCTGCTCAAACTTATGCTTCAGGGGAAGATGTGCCACAAGAATAAATTAATCCAATTATATCAATTATATGGTTCCTGCATTTATGAAAATTACCCAAAAATGTCTAATTACGTTCAACATGTATTTGTCATGATTACAATATAACATCAATACATCGATAAGCTCCACGATTCCGATACATCCCTCAGTGATAAAATAGACTACCTAAAACATCGATTAACATCATAAGCGAATAGTCGTTACAATTCCTTTACTCCTATTCATTGTACTTTCTCCATGCATATATCATATATTGTTCATACGAAAATAATACGTCCAATACATCTAATTATCCCCTTAATTCCTTATTCCAATGAAATCAGTCTTTATACGATTGAGGGAATGAATTCCCTATTTGGCATTCTTAAAAATTAGCAACTGTTGTTTCCTCGATTCTATTGTTCATGAATTTCGAGATCATGCCACATCAAATAGTGGATTATCTCAATGATTAATCAACCACTGCTGCCAAGGCGTTCTCTGCTATCGATTCTCCCCAACCGACGAATTTGGCTGCGACGTCGATACTCCTTCCATCAAACGGACGCACGTTTCACACGAAGACTAGCACTGCTAGATGGTGGACGATATCCCTGATACCCTGAAGAGTCAATGAGCTCGGTTGTGGCTGTACCTAGGCAGGTGCACGAGCAGACACTGACGCAGTCATCAGTTTCATGGATCATTGGTACATGACTTGACAGTAATTTTCCGTTGACAGCTAGGACTTCACCGTCTAACGTGAGAACATGATGTGAAGAGGCTTGAAGCTCACTCTCGTCTCTCCTCGTTTCTTCAGCATTCCTGGGATAATTCACAGACAATTGTCAATTTACGGTTATTATTCGAAAGGTTAATTAGAGATATTAATTACATCGTCATGAATCGAAGAACCAGGAGATTGATGCTGGCAGCGACAACTGCCAATCCGAACAGAATGAATACAAGACTCAGGGCGACGTATCCGGGTTTTGTCGATAAGGCTTGGTCGTTCTGTAATTGTTAGACATTAAATTAATTTATTCATTCCTCGTTTTACCACTTCCATTTGGAATTATACCTGTAGAGCAACATAATCTCCAAATCCTATTGTCGTCAGTGTGACGAAACAGTAGTAGAAGCTATCGAAGTAGCTCCACCCTTCGTAACGAGAGAAAACAGCTGCACCTGTAGTGATTATGATGCTGGAGAGAACTCCAGTTGCAAGCATGAGATTCATTTCAGTTGCTTCAGTTCTGTGACACCTCATGTACTTCTTCATTCTTCTGATGACGACAGATGCTACTTTATTCAAACGTTCACCGATACTCTGGAACATTACTAGACCCAGAGGAATTCCAATTGTAGCATACAACATGCAGAAACCTTTTCCCCAGACTGTCACTGGCGTTGAATGCCCGTATCCTAATTATTGTTAACATAATTTCAAGAGAAGGGTTAGAAAAATGAACTTGTACATCGAATTTCAAGATTAATATTCCACTCAGTACCGATCATGGCGAGTACAACAGTTGCAAAATAAAATGCCCCAGCGAATTTCCATTGTGGTCCAGCCTTATGGGGTTTATTCTCAATTATAACAATCTCCACCATTCTGTAGTCTTCCTGAGAGATGTTATACTTCCTGATCATGTTTCTCTTGATTTCTGCAAACAGATTAGAAAATATTATCCGTAGAAACAGAAATATTCGATGAAAATTGCGACATTTAGAAATAACTCACCAGTTACCGCATAAAATAATTAAATTATAAAAATTACGGGATGCTCACCCAAATAATAGAATAATTCATTGCAAATAATTCAATGGAACTTGATGGTCACTTACCTGATAAAAATTCCCATCGTTTTCTTTCAGTATCGGACTCGAGAGCATCGAAAACAGCAGCTCCAATCAACAAATACGTAAAAGTACAAACGACGAGGGACAGAGTCCTGACATTCTGCCTCTTCATGTTCGAAACCGACTCGTCGTCCGTCATCTTGATTATGAAAAATATCTCCAGATTAGATGAGACTCATCGACCCATCAGACCACAGCAACCAGCCACACCCTCATTTCATGACTCTGACGTACTTTTCACTCACCCTTCACGAGTAAAATATAGAAAATATCACATCAGGACTCGAAAACGGGGAAATAATAAAGACGTCCTTGAACCCAGACCTGAAAATTACTGAGAACATGCGTAACTGGTGGTGGAATCCTCGGGGTGTCTAGTTATTGATCGGTCTCCAACACACGTCCTCCTTGATGCATGCACTGAAAAATATGAAAAATATGTCTTATCACCGGACTTGATAATGATGTCGTAAACATTTCCAATATCAGCTTATCATTGCCATCTGTTAACAAATACCTGTTGAATCTATTATAATGTTTTTTAAATTTCTCTTCATCAGGGATTTTTAAAGCGACGAGCGAATGGCGCCAAAAATTATTTTTATAAATGACTGGGTGAAAAAAAATTATTTTTACCAAAAGAATTTACTTTACACCTGTGAATTTATCGATTTTATCAGGCTAATGCAATTATTTAATTAATTTTTCATAAGATAATGTCAATTAAAATTACCGCCGTTTTTTCGTTTGAACTGATAAAATGGATTTCCTTTTTATCGACCCTGACAATTGTGGACAGTTTCAGAATTCGATGGGGAGCATTCAGTGTTTGGTTGACGTTTATTTGTGAAAGATTTTTATAAAGATCAATTGTTTATTGTTATTAAGTAATAATGGAACAAGACAAGTGTACTTTAAGAGAGATGAACTGTGAATTGAATCATTTATCGATGCCCGATGGTTCTGCAATGCTAATGCAAGGTTAGACACATGTTTGTTTTCTTTTTCCTAACGACACGCGGCAAAGGAATAGTATAATTGCTTTTAATCTAATTATTCATCCAAAATTCTTTAAAATCTTGAATAAAAATACTGAACATCTCTTCATTCTTTCATCTCTGAATCTCTGAATCATTTTTTATGAATAAAAATATTTTTCCAGGAGACACTTGTGTTGCTGCTGGTGTTTATGGACCTATCGAAGCAAGACTTGCAAAAATGATGTACGATAAAGCGCACATTGAAGTTGTTTTCAGTCCCGTAAAAGGCCCACCCAGTAAGTAAATTTTATTACGGAGAAAACCCGTTCTGCACTGAGTTAAAATAACATATTCAAATAAAATTTCAGGCATCGATGGGCGAGTAAAGGAATTGTATATCAAAGAAACCTGTGAGTCAACTCTCATGATTGTTCTGCATCCAGGTACAGCGATTTCCATTAATCTACAGGAAATGGAAGATTCTGGAGGTGTAAGAAAAATATTTATTTTTGAAGATCTCATTAACTAGAAGAATATTTTTTTAACATGATACTCATTATTTAATTGTTGCTGACATTTTTTCACAATTTTATTCCACTTATAATCGTTTTTATATGGATTAATTTTTTCAAATCAGCTCTTGGCATGTGCCATAAACGCTGCGAATCTGGCATTAATCAATTCTGGTTTACCAATGAAGTTTACAATTTCTGCTGTTCACTGCATGATCGAGAGGGACAGTGGAAAAACGATTCTGGATCCTGAGGAGAATCAATTAAAGGTAATGGAATAGCTTATATTCGTCAATAAAATCTCTGCAGATCATTATTCACTCTCATTTATTTATTAGAATGCAAGAGCAACATTCACTTACGCCTTCGACAGTATAAAAAAGGACCTGATCACCTGTCACACGTCAGGAAAATTCACGGAGAAAGAACTGATGAGTTCCATAGAGCAGTGCAGAGAAGCTAGCCAATATATTTTCGATTTTTATCGAGACGTAGTAAGAAAATATGCGAAATGTACAGCCCAATAATTTATGGTGAATAAAAATAATTTTTTAATAATACATCTTTATTATCGACCAATCCCACGTGTTATTCCGACCGCATGTCGCTTCATAATCATAAAAACATAACCAGACAATTTTGTTAGTGTTTACATCAAAGAAGATTGACTAAAGTAGAGGCTGGGGTGTTTTAATTTTTTTTAGTTTTAAAATATATACTCCTAATGAATTTATGTTACTGTAATGAGCGCGTTGTCTTAATGGTAACGTGCTCGATTAGCACGCCGATGGCTGGGGTTCGCTCCCGCCGACATTCATTTTTTTTTTTTTAATAATTCCAATTTTACCTTTTTTTAATTGGCTAATCAATCTAAATATCGTTTAAACACTGAATTTTTGAAAAGCGCAAAGATATCCTGTGAAATTGACAAATTAACAATTTTTTAAAACGATACTTTTGCAAAATATATACT